GTGATTAGCAATAGCAAAATTAGGGAGCCATTCAAAGCCAAAAACCTGAACCATAGTTAAATCTTTATCATGTTTCTCAGGATATAAGGGACTTTTCCGAGCATAGTGAACCACCCGAACCATGCAGAGTGAATCTTTTTTTTCATCAGACTAGTCAAATGGACAAAGACTTTTCAGTCGTCTCAATCAAGATGAGCTGCAAGACTGACTTCATTTCATGAAATACATCGTCCGATTCTCAATCTAGAACAAATCCAACCCCTTTGGATAGAGAAACTAAACCGTTGTTAGGTGCCTAACCTGGTATTCTTGCAAAGTTGCTAGGCCTGTAAAACTGGTAAGGACCATATAGTTCTTTGAGATTATCTTTTCCAGAGGCATTTGTTCTTGGATGATGAACAAAACCTTTGAAGCCCAAGGAAAAATCCAGTCCCTTCGATGGGCAGGAACATGACCTGGAAGCTCTCCCTCCTAGTTCTTTTATAAAAGGATCCTTACCCCCCAAGTGATATAGTTGCTTGATTGTCTGAATTTGAAATCTGGATTGTGGTAATTTATTCTAAATTTATCTCGAGGATTTTCATTAATTGTGGCTTTTTACTTCTAGTCTTATCTGCTTGACTTTCTGGTTTCAAAATTCAATAAACTAAAGCATTTTTCATGGCTACAAATGAGATTAAGAATTCTAGATGGTGCTTGACTATGTCTACATTTTGATATTTTATTGTATTTTCATTAAATTTGCAATCGATTACACAAGTCATTGCTAGATTTCTTGATAAATTTAAAGCAACTACAATATACCATGTCAATTTTAGCTACTATTTCTATACTACAATTGTCGTATAATTTTAAAAATCTCAAATTCACTTTTCCCCGCATGATTAATAAAAGGGATAATTGCATTGGATGTTCCAAACCTTTAAAAAATGTGCAGATTATGCTCAAGCCTTTAAATCGTAGTAGTAGATGTCCGCAAACCTTTCAAAATTGTGGGGCAGAAGAACCTCCAGACAATTTTTATTATCTTGATGCTCGTTATTTGACTAAAAGTCGGTGTTTGATCATTTTGATCAATTTTAAGGGACAAAATGGTCTTTTAACCTTTAAAGGAAAATTTCTATGTCCCAAACCTTTTAAAAATGTGCGGTGGAGGTCCTAAACTTTTAATAAATGTGCGTCGAAAGGACATCTAATGTTTTTCATCCAAAAATTTGTTAATTCACAAAAATATTTAAGTTTCCCGATTCACAAAACCACCCAACCCTAACCAATCCAACCCCACCTATTGGTAGGTACGAGAGCCTCCGCCACTTCCATTATCGTTGGTTTTGAAGAGAATATATATAT